GACTCCTTAATAACCGTTGTGTAAGTACTCACAATATTCACAGATTAAAATTAGTTTAACAATTGTCGTGGTACGCCAAAATAATTGCTTGTACAGTTTTTATTAATTTAATTTATTTGTGCACATTGAAAAAAATATGTAATTATGCCATAATTCACATTCTGTGATAATGGAGGAAGTAGTAACAAGCATCTGTTTAATCTTTGATTGATATTCTTTCAATTAATCTATCTAATCATTAATTGAGAGAATTTATCTAGAAATGTTATCGTTGATTATATGATATATGTCTTAAATTAATGTTTGCATTTATTAATAACACCTATATATAATTTACCTCTACTCCACCGAGGGTTTCTCGAAGCAAGATTCGAACTCATGATCCCGGATTGCCAGCCGCTTCTGTTTCCATCTGCTCTATTCTTGAATACATATTTTGATCATAAGAGAGAAGTATATGAAGCTCATATACTTATACAAGCAGTCGAATAATCACTGACTTATGGTCATATAAACGTGCCTATCACTTGTGCTATTTTTAGCAACAAAATTGTGGTTGGTGGTTGGTCGAACGTAAACAATCATTTAAGAGTGCTCCAAGCAGCTTTTGAAGCTTCTAACCAAAAAGTCAATACAACTACATTCTTGTACAACTCTGGAAGCTATTATTCAACGTTTGATCAACTCAGGTGTTTTATAAGAGTTCCCAATTGTTTGTTTTGATGCGTTAATTCCACGTTCTGTATAGCTCTTGTGAATCAGTTTAACTAAGGTGCTATAAAATTTATCGTAGGTCTTATAAAGCATATAGTAAAACCGAACGTAAACAATCATTTAAGAGTTCTCCAAGCAGTTTTTGAAGCTTCTAACCAAAAAGTCAATACAACTACATTCTTTTTCAACTCTGGAAGCTATTATTCAACGTTAGATCAACTCAGGTGTTTTATAAGAGCTCTCAATTGTTTGTTCGGTATTGTTTAAAATCTAACACTGCTTCTTGATTCCAAATTCGTCCTACGAGTTTCAATTCCGTCCAAACGCATTGAAACGTCATTGGATTTTATTGGTTTACGGAAGAAGGTAGAAAAAGCGTGTTTGCTAGGAGCGCTTCTTTTGTTTTGAGAACAATGAGTGTAAATATTCACACAATACGCTCTAATAGGCTTTGTGTTGTAGCTTGTGAACTAACGCATCGGTACAGACGTATTTCTGATTTGTGCACGGTGAAATCATTGATTATACTGATGTTTTCTGCTCGATAGAACGGAAATGGACGATTACGACGAAGTAGTGCTTTACCAAATATATCATATTAACAATATGATCCATTCATGTCTTTTCCAAATGTTGCAATGGCGACCAGTAAAATGTTGCTTCACGCACCATCTAGCGTTGAAAAAGGTCACCAACAATCATTCAATTACAATCGAGGGGTGCGAATATAACACTTATTACAAAAGTAAGAGTCAAATTATTTTCATTAATTACATTGTGTATATTACTTTAAAATTTGTCTGACATGTCACTGTTGTCATCAATTAAAATAAAATGCTGAAATACATTAATTTGAAATATTAAACAAATTTTCATTTGATTTACCCCTCGTGACGATAAACAAATACATTGGTAGCCTTTTTGGCCACAGGGGTGCTTTCATCGCTAAAAATTCGGTTCGCCAGCTAAGCGAAAGAGTGGATCATATTGTTAATATAATATATTTGGCTTTACCCTATGTGGTAGGTTTGAGCTATCTCTTCAGTTCAGCTATATCGATTCTTTATCTATCAGTCTTATTCTAGCCTTTTTACGCTTCTTTAGCGAGCGGTTTTCCGGCTAGTTATCCAAGTAACAATTTTGTTTTTATGTGGATTCTGTAGACCATGTTTTAAACTTAAAGAATTCCTTGAAACCTCGATTAAACTTGCCATGTTACTTGAGTAGTGGGTAGTGTTCTAGATGTACTCCCATAGCTTTCTTCTATGCTAACCAAGGCACGCATTTATATTTTGTGTTAAAAGCACAATAATACATTATGTCCAGGTAGGTCGATAAAATTTCCAACTTGATCCGAAAGATTTCCTCGACCGCCTGGTAATACCGTGCTTTTACTGACTAGGCTATCTGAGCCCCATATCTTTAATTCAGTACAGTACTGGCAGATCTCTTAAATGAAATTATATTATTATTATTATTTAGCTTTATTTAGGAGGCTTTCAGCCTTAGGCTGGTTATGAAATTATATTTCTCGGGGTCACCTCTAGGGATAAATCAATCCTGTTATATGTAATTGCAAATCCATCACTGATCAAACTAGTGAAGTTGCAGAGAGATTCACGTGGATGATGAAGGAGCTTGTGTTTAGATTTCCAACTTCGATATACATCCAAGCTCACGGATTAAATCTTAGACGGCATCCATAAATTATGTAACGCTAATGGGGGGAGAGGGGTTCAAATTATTACATACGGAGTGTGAGTAAAGCGTTTTATTTGTTATGTCTTGCTTGGATGTCAAATGGATAGCATAGTTTTGTTTTGAATGGAGAAGTTATAACCAACTCAACCAAAAATGTTGAATAATCAGGAGCTTTACGTAATACGCTTTCCATGTTACGTTTTGTTACAAAGGGGTATAGGGGGTTTAATGGACGCCCTTAACGGATTACAGATCACCGATTAATAATGGATCAGTCTCGATCACGCGTCATCACGGACTTCAGTTTTTAAGGATGAGAAAGATGGATCGACAATCATTGTTGGTATATACTGAGAAGCCCTTGAACTCTCCATAATTACCCCTGGAAGAAGATAGCTGTGATAACAAGGGCGTAGCCAGGTTTTAAAATAGGAGAGGGGGTTATCATTGTATTGATGATGCAGGATAAGGCCAGATGTGTCATTAGGTCGATTGCTATTTTGTCACACGCTAACAGGCTGAATGTGACTAGGCCGAAAGGGTTACTAACTCAAATGAGTAATTTTACCGAAATTTAAATTTCTGTCATACTGCAGAATGATTTTTCAAACTTGCATGGTGATCAGCAAATCCCGATGAGAAATTTTCTTTCTATCGGCTTTTCCCGTCATCATGCATCTGTGCGGATAGGATCACTTCTAGATGAACATTTCAAAAGGTTTAATCTGCTTTGATCGATTCTTTTAATCGAATTTAATTCGTTAATAACCTAGCTGCAAAAACATTATCTGGTGACGTTCTGGATTTTAAATGAAAACCTTTATAAAAAATGTTGCAAAAATGATGTGAAATATGTTGATATAGCCGCACAGTTAAATGAAAACCAGCAATATTACGTTGAAATAAATGCAACAAATGTACTAGGTAATATATAACGTCAATTTACGTGTTTTGAAAATTACACGGCATATTATTGTACAGTGTTAATTTACATGAACTGTAAATTTCAAGTTGCAGGCATCTGTTTTCGCAAACAATATTTCTCGATTTCGGGGGTCGATGACACTTGGGAGCCAGTGTGAGCTGTCAAATGAGAAAACATTCAGAAGCAACGAATGTTGTTACTGTTCTTATCTATCGTCAAGTATTTTAATCTCATACAAATGATCCATACTTTTTCATAACACACTTTTAATTTAAAGAACAAAGGCAAAACACATCAGGCTTAGTGATGAAAGTATAAAAACCAGCATTGTTTTTATAACTGAGTTTTCAATTGCAATATTTAAAACAAACTTTTGCAAAACATGTGTGTACACTAACTTTGTTAAAGTCATCCCAAGTAGCATTGTAAGTTTTATTGAGAATTTAAAGCGTTCTACAAGTCAAAATCATGTCCTACAGAACCCTTATAAAACCAGAATTGTTACTTGGGTTGGGTGCTCGAGCATTCCTGGTTCATCAACTTGAAAAAGGCAAAACAATGTTAAACTTGAGAAAATTTTGAAGCAGTTTTCCATTGTCTTGCAAAATAAAATCTATCTGCTGCGCAGTACGCAGAGCTGCAATAGATTCTTTGTCAAAATTGTACTGCACAATGCATACGTTGCTATAAAGTTTCAGCTGTATGACTGTCAGATTTGCCGCAACGGATAAAATCCGGATGCATTGTGCGCCGCTCTTAAGAAAGGTAACATATGAGCGAATTCAAGGTATTTTATGAAAAACGTAGCATGTAATCTTATAATTCAAGAATGAATTTTCAAATTGACGTGTTTGTTTATGCAAACAAAGCTTCAAACGTCAATTTTTCGAAACTCTTAGCTCGCCCACGCAAACTAACGCCACCGTCAGGTTGGGTAAAGTATTCCCATCATGATAATGGTGTTAGTTTGCGTGAGCAAGCTAGTAGTTTAGTCAAATTATTATTTGAATCCTTGTGTACAAAAACACGTTCTACTTTTTAACGTTGTACTCTTGATTTGAAAAATATACGAAATGCATGAGATATTTTTGACCATGTTAATTTGAGATTATTTTCCTGAAAGCATTCGAAACATCTCTGAATAGTCATAGATCGTTACCCTAGTGGAATATATAAATCTTCTTTCCTTTATTTAACGTCCGTCTCTGTTCCGCAATCTAGTGCCAATTACCGACGGACATCGATTGCCATCCATTGACGGCAATCGAATGTGCAGGAAGGCAGCTTCCACACCTGCGTAGGATATCGCACCCATTTAACACACATACACATGGGCCGGGACCAACGGCTTTACTTCCCTTCCGAAGGAAGACGTGACCAGAGATTTTTATGCCTCAGAAAAATCCCACCGACCTCGGCTGGGGATTGAACCCAGACCCATTGGGGTGTTAGAAAGCAGTCACGCTTACCACTACACCACCGGCGCCGGTGGAAAATATAAATGATGTCCTTGATTTACTATTTTCAGTACTCTTTATTTGCACTCTAAAATCGGTACCTTTGAGGCGCATACAAACTACGAATTTTGATAAATTTGTCCTATTGTTGGTGGAGGTTGATGGATTTGGTTAAACTTTCAAAGCTGTAGGTTTTTCTTTTTTTTAGAAAAGGAACCGCTTAGTAATTTCGAATCCATGTGGCTTCTTGTACAACACCTGTTCTGGTCCTGCTTCGTAGGTAACCTGCTGAGGAGCAGCTTGGTAGGCAACGGGCGCAGGAGCAGCATGATAGGCAATAGTCTCAGGAGCAGCATGGTAGGCAACGGGCGCAGGAGCAGCATGGTAGGCCACGGGCTCAGGAGCAGCATGGTAGGCCACGGGCTCAGGAGCAGGAGCTGCATAGGAAACAGCCTGGGGCTGGGGTTGAGGTTGAGCCAGATATATTACGTGGTGCACTGTTGGACAGAAAATTATCCGTATCAGTCGAATTGTTTCCAGATTGTTTTTTGTTTGAATGAGCTTACCAGGTGCTTGGACTGGAGCCTGACGAGCCTCAACTACTACAGGAGCTGGAGCGGAGACGGGGGCAGCTGGTTGGGCATAGTAGTACGTTGGCTGAGCTTCATAGGCAATTGGTTGAGGAGCAGGACCATAAACTGGACCTGGACCTTCGACATGACCAGCGAGATGTTTAAGCAACAGCGATTTAAGGTGGATTGTTGGTGTGGCAGAAATACTGGCAACTAGAGCCAGCAGACATACGAGCTGTAAGAAGGATGACATAATCAAGTTAACACAAAACGATTCAATCACTTTTCACTGGTTTCACAGCAGTACCTTGAACATTTTTGAATATTCTTTTATTTTTTGAACTATTTGAACACAATACGTTTCGATCGAGTATGGTTTGGACACTACCGCTATTTGGACAAAACTTGAATCCTTTTATATAAAAAACGCACCGCTTAGATTTGATTACAAAAAAAAAGAAGAATCACGGCCAAAGAAATTTGGATTCTGGTTTCGAAAAACTCTTTAGTTAGTTTGTAGGAAGCACGTGTTCCAACCGTTGTTGGGAGAATTCGATACCGGTCAAACTGGATTTTGGAATAGGGTTCTAAATCAGAGTAAAATTTTGACGGTGTGAAATTGGATGAATGGTCATTTTTTTTCTCGGTAGAAATGCGTTGGTTAAAATTTTGCATGGAAAGGTTTTCACAGTTACAACTGTGAGACCTATTTAAATGTTCTTACACAACAGGTAAGAACAACATTGACATGGTTCATAAATATTCTATGAGATAAACTTGTCTGCCAGGATGATTTGAGCAGTTTGTGCTAATTTTCCCTGTGGATGGGGCTGTCCTCATGAGCTTTGATTAGTTTATGGGAAAATTGCTAAAATCTTTGCGCTTAGCGGAGGAGGGTTAGCATAATGAGAAACTGGATTTACTGCTCAAAATAGATGCCGAGATGCGTGCGCTGAAGACGGTTGGAATTTTATGATTCGGGTGGCACCGTGCTGATGATACTGGTTTATAGATGACATTCAAAACAGATGGTCGATGTACCTGAGTGGAGTTTGAGATCATATTGAAAACTTAAATTGGGTGTTATGATGTTCATATATTTGGGGTTGCTCTAATTTTGCTCGTTTTAACGGTTAAAATAAAAAAAATTAAAGCAAAACATTCCTTTGCAAAATGAAAACAATATTTTACTACTCATCATGAACTGAAATCAAATTATGATTTCAATTTGATGTTGAAAACGAAACTTAAACTTAATTTTTTTTTTAAATTTTGATGCACGACTTTGCTCGGGTGGGTGGTTTTATCTTCCGGATTCTGCTTCTTGAAACTGCAGGTGTGTCATATTCAAACATCGTCTGACTACATGGTAAGGGTCGAGACCTTGGCATTGATTTTGATTTCTTTGGGTGAGTTTATGGATTGTGTCAAAGGCTGGGCTATAATCAAATTTAATTTACTATTCATTCGATCGAACTTGGTTTCGCTAGAGTAATTTTTCCTTCATGTAAACATCTGGAACATTGCAGAGGCTGTGATTTTCATTCATGAGAATAGCTTCATTCGAGCAAATCGTTCAATAGCGATAATTGCAATTAAACGTATTGAATACGCTAAACAATGGGACGCACATCACGGTTATAAGCGAGAGCGGATCGGAATTGATGTATCATTTGTGTTTATCAGTTCAAATAGTTTAGACAACATGAAAATGTTCATCACCACGGTAAGAAAATTGTGCATAATTAATCAACCTTCATCATTAATAACAAATAATATTTCAATAGAAAGTCTTTCTGGTGATCGTTTTCCTATCAATTGTGTTGGGATATCCCCAGACATTGCCAGGAGTAGAAGAGCAACCGGAGAAGGAAGTTGTAGAAGAAATACCAAAGATTTACAACACTCCCGGAGAGATTGAAGTTCAACCAAATGGTGAACCGATTTTGGCAGAAGATGCTAAACAATTATTAAAGAAAGATGTTCTTGTAAGACCGGACAGATCACCAGCCTACACTTACTACTATCCCGGGGTGTACTATTATCCCCCAAAGTTTCGTTGGAATCCATATTACTACTACAATTACTACTATTGGTGGCTATGATCCATTTTAAATCAAAAGATTGTTTCAATGGAGAAATCATCCCAGTGTAGTGGATTAGTCGAATTCAGTGGCACCATGTAAAATATGATGTAGTGATCTTAATAAGCATGAACAAGTGATGAAACCGTGATATTCTGTGCAAGTGTCATAATTGTCGTTTATCAAGTCTAAATTTTCTAAGACTATGTACTAGATAAATGCACATCAAAAAATAAAATAAAATTATTTGATATAAAATTGTTCTTATACTGATTCATTTTCATCACAGCATCACATTGGGCCTTGAGGTTTCTATCAAGATTTGTAACTTATCAGTAGAATTGAAAGAGTAGTATGGATGCCAGAATCAGTTTGTCATCAGTTTGCATGCTGAAAATTCAACTGTGAGATAAGCTACATCTTTTAAAATTTCATCATAGTAGTCGTGCAGATATGTAAATTTAATCCGATGCTTGTTCCACTGTAGGCATTTTGTACATTAAGTAGATTAGTGTGCACGAAAAAAAGGAGTTGTTGCTCGAAAAAAATAATGCGAAATGGCTATAACATCCAAGAAGGTTATCTTATTAATCTTAAACTATATCTTAAATGTAAGAAGTGTAATAAGTGAGCATGCATTAAGTACGTCACGCGAAATTTCGTCGGATTTCCAATACCTAATGCATTGCTTGCCACATGTTTGTAAACCTCCACTACCCCTTAGAGTGTGACGTACTTAAAGGATGCTTCCATGCTCACCGGATGTTTTTTTTCTCTAAAGAATCAGATCATCCATAAAATTGATTTTTTGAATTATTGAATGAAATGTTGCAAAATGGTATAGATTTAGACTATGTCGGTACTTGAGGAGCAGGACTCTACATATTCGTACCAATAAAATGAGCTTATGTTTTCTCTGCTTTCAAGCAACGCGTTTAACGCATTATTTCAATAACGCTTGTCATGCCTAGGAACACCAAACGAAAATAATAAAGAAGCAAGTTAAGATCGAAAGGCTAACTGTCTGGCTCACCTTTCTTTGCTCACTCTCTTTCAACGGAAGTAACGTCGATTTTCGAGTTGAAACGAAGCGTCAATTTGGGTTTAAATTTTTTTCACCGACACTGCCACCCGCTCTTTAAATTTATTAAATATACGTTATGTCCCGTTTTCAATTTTTTTTTTGTTAAATAAACATGTGGATGGAATCTACATATGTTTATATGCGTGAAGCGCTTTATATATATTTTGATGTGCTTAATGAAAGAAAGACGAACAGATCAACGTCGAACGCTTTTCCGCTCGCCCGTTTTACCGAAGCTTGAAAGAAACACGATGGGAGTAAGAGAAACAAACGCGAGACGGCTAATACATAGGTGCCACAGACGGAAGAAGTGTTAGTTTGTTTATATAAATGAACCATGCCCATTTTGTTATGACATGTTTGCTATAAGAAATGCGCCTCGTGTTTATTAGCGAATTTCACATCAAAGATTGATTAATTGAGTAGGAAATCAGTTTGGTACGGCATTTGTGACCAGCATACACCTTCCGGTAGTATGAAACAAGTCAAAAACTGTTCAAATCCGCAGATAAAAATTTTTGTTTTGAATTTCTGTATAGCAAAATAGTGAACTTTTCGTGAACATTAACGGCAAAGAACTCACCAACACTGGGAGACTGTGAGTTCCTGCCGTTTCATATCTACGGTGAATTTGGGAGTTTTTAATTGATAAAATAAATGCGCCATCTTATATTTCAATTTTTACCATATTTTTGATCATAAATGATTCGGAGAAAAAAATATTTTGTGTACACTCAGTTTGAGGGTTACACTTCGAACAAAAAGTTTCATGATATGAATCATTACTTGAGATTATAAAGAAAACTCGTTGCTATTAGTTTGTCCTTAAGGCTCAACATTCACAATTACATCACCATTAATTAAACATTTTACCATTTTGATAATTAAAAAAAGGAACAAACAATTAGATCGCGATTGGTGAAACATTTTAGAACGGCAGTGTAGCTTTCATTTGCCCCGATCATAGAGATTGCATATGTGTTACCATCTGGTGACATGCGAGTATTAGGGTCACGCTGAAACGAAAATGCAACTGTAATGCGGCATACAATTGTTGCCAAGTTACATATTCGTAAATTTTCGGTCGATCTAATGTTATCAATTGGTTGAACTGTAACTGAGTTGCCACACAGTTACAGTTCAACCAATTGATAACATTGATTCACACTGGATGCCCCCCTTTTTATAAATATGATTTTTATTTCCACATTTACAAAATTATGATATAAAAAATAAATAACTTGATTTCTCGTTAGCTTGATTTTTTAGGTAAAATAACTTGTTTTCGTTAAATAAGGGCACTGAAAACCTTTCATTGCGTCAATTCCTTTGAGATGGTGCCTGAAAATTGCCCCACAAAGGTGCATGAAGGGGTAAACAACAAATTTCTGGTGTAAATTTTTTTAAGGTGGTTCATGGAGGGCAAGGTTGCAAAGACTCATTTCAGCTAAAACAATGTTTTTCTAAATTATGAAATAATTAGATGCCATGATCAAATTTTGAATTGGTAGGATACAAGAAGAGGTTGCAAAGAATGTGTTTGACATATTAAACCTGTTTATTTCACTTCATGAGAGTCACAATCAGCGATTTTTCACAAACTCATTCACTCACTCACTCACTCACTCAGCGATCAGCAAATCGCTGATTGTGACTCATAGAAAGCAAAATTTACAGGTTTTATGTTTCCAACGCATACTTTATAACCTCTTCTTGTAAGTTACAAGTAAAACATGCCATCATACCATCTTTTGGTTTTATTATTCCGAAAAACATTATTTTAGCTGAAATGAGTCTTTGCAACCTTGATGGAGGGTTAAAAGAAGTGGGTAAACTTAAGGTGGAAAAAATTCTACTTCGTGATGGTAAATCGAAGAAAAAGCTTTTATTGAATATTTCTGGTGTAAAAATATCATCAAAGGTGTGCATGGAGGGACTAATTAAAATGAAAATTGGAAAAATTGAATCACGCTAAAAATTTGGAGGTGCACATTTAACTGAAAATTTCTGGTGGAAAGTTCGCTACAATGTGGTGAGTGTAGAAGCAAGGTTTATTCATTTTTCTGGTGCATGATTTACAACGTTCTGATGAATGCAAGCTTCATTGAAAATTTATGGCAGAAAATTTGAAGAAGCAAAGCCTGAAAACTGCACCGCAAAGGTGCTTGGTGAAACAAACTTCACTGACATTTTTGGTACACCGTTCTGGTGAATGGAGAAGCATGCTTTATTGAAAATTTCTGGTGGAAAATTTTCATCGCTCTGATAAAATAAATGAACGGAATATTTCTGGTGGAAAATTTGCACTGGTCTGGTATATGAAGGTACAAGCTTTATTTAAAATTAAGCTATATTGAAAATTTCGGGTGAAAATCTGCACCGTTCTGGTGAACGGATGGGCAAGCTTTTCGGAAAATTTTTGGTCTTAAATTTGCATCCTTCTGCTGAATAGAGAAACAAACTTTAATAATAATTTCTGGTGTAAAATTTGCACCATTCTGATAATTGGAGGGAAGCTACTTTACTGAAAATTTTTGATGAAAAATCTGAAAATAGGGGCAAGCTGTATTTGGTGCAAAACCTGCAACATTCTGATAATAGCAGAAGCAAGCTATATTGAAAATGTCTGGTGAAAAATGGAAAAAGGAAATCTGCACCAATCAGAAGATTGGAGAATCAATTTTTATTGAACATTAACGGTGGAAAATTTGCATCGTTCTGCTCAATTGAAATTTTCTGGTGTAAAATTTTCTGGAATCAAAACTACAACGTTTTAGTGAATGGGCGGACAACTTAAACTTGACTTCCGAGAAGAACCTCAAGGGTATTGAATTCAGTTATTCGAAAACTTTAGGAGAATTTCAGTTCCGAGGTGTTCTGAGAAAAAAAGAGAAGAACCTCAAGGAAATTGAATTCTTATGACTGTTCCTAAATATTTCTGGGGAGAATTCAAAGAAAATTCTGCGGGTAATTTCTAGTGCATCTTGTAGATTGTTCCAATATAATTTCGAAAAGTATCAGAGAAAATCAAATTTTGAGCGAAATTCCAAAGGGATTTTGAGTAAAATTTCAAGCGAATTCCGAGGATAATTTCTAGCTCATTCAGTTCCAATGTGTTCTGAGAAAAATTCACGAAAGGTTCTAAATATAATTCCACTGGACTTCTGAGAAGAATTTCTAAAGAGCTCTTAGGAGAGGTCTAAAAAAATCCGAGAAGAACATCAAGGATATTGAATTCTGAGGACAGTTCCAAAAGATTTCTGGGGAGTATTCCAAGAAAAATCTGCGTATAATGTCTAGTGAATCCTGCAGATATTTCCATGATAATTCCAAAAAGAATAACGAGACAATTAAATTTTGAGTGAAATTCTAAGGGATTTTGAGGAAATTTTCAAGGGAGTACGGATAATTTCTAGCTCATTCCGGGAATTTTTTTTTGAGGAATCTCTTCTGTAACTGTAGGGGAATTTCAGTTCCACAGTGTTCGGATTAAAGTCAAAAAAAGTTCTAAAAATAATTCCAGAGGACTTCTTAAAAGAATTTGAAAAGAGCTCATAGAGTTCTAAAAATTTCGAAAAGAACCTCAAGGATTTCTGACGATGGACTTTTTCGCAACTGTACCAAGTTTAAAGACTTTTGCCTTCTCTAATTGAAAAGTAGGTATCAGTTTGCCATTAAAACTTGGTCTATTGTTGTCTCTGTCTCTGAAAAGTTCAAGTCATTTGTTACCGTGGTTAAAAAGTTACAGCTGTTTATGTGCGTTGTAATAAATTCGGGTTTGTCCTTTATATCATCTTTAAAACATGTTGAAATGTTCAGCATAATTTTCTGTCACCCCGACTGACGGTACTTTGAGACGGTTCATCATCGACATTGTCGATGTGATTTAATTGCCAATTTTCATTGGCTGTCTGAAAGCAGTTTGCATTGAAGAAGATGAACCACCACCCGAGAAAAAATTGATAAAATTAGCAAAATTAAACAGTAGGGAAACAGTGGTGGGTGAAAAGCACCATCTCCCACGCACTTTGGAGTACTCCCCATCCCCAGATTAAATGCGCCATAGCAAAAAAAACTGCCCCTGCTTAACAAGATTCCTGTGCACGCTAGTGCTTCAAACGCAATGCGGAAAGCCAGGTTACAACCAATTGACCCCAACTTTGGCATAGTTGTTTGAGACCCCAAATGAAACCAAAAACACATTGTTCTGAAAAAAAAAATGATCATGATGACCCACCCTTATACTCATAGACTTAAAAAGCATATTTTTTTTATATTTATGCAGATTTTTGAGTAAAATGGTGGAAATTTTAAGCACTCAGTGAGTAACCCTACTTTCTACTATTTTAGGAAAAATTCTATTCAATTTTGAGTTTGTCTCATCAGCCTTGTACGATGTCTAACGATATGACAACCGCTACATCCATAAACGAACAACTGAAACAACGCGTACACTGAACCAAAACACCCACCGCCTACTGAATGATTTTTGCCTCACCCAAGCCCCATGCTTATAATCAGATGATTTACGAAGATCGTCATTCAATTCATATTTTTACAGAATCAAGTCAAATGTTTCTTTTTTTTTTTCCTTTGGTTTGTTTTTTTTGTCGATCTTGTTTTCCGTGCTGAGCACCAATGCTACCGACGTGCCAGGAAGGCAGCTCCCACACCTGGACCCTACCTATCGACCCATCAACTCATGAACCGGGGACCAACGGCTTTACTTCCCTTCCCGAAGGAAGGCGTGATCAGAGATGTTATGCCTCAGAACATCTCGGCGGTGCCGACTGGGATTGAACCCAGGCCTGCTGGGGTGAGAGGTAATCACGCTTACCACTACACCACTGGCGCCGTTAAGTCAAATGTTTGAATATAATTTAAAATCAGCGTTATAATCATACATCAATCAAATCAAAATAGAACTAGATGTGAATGATTTGCATGCATAAACTTTTCAACTCATCAGTCTTGTAATGGAAGAAAATCAGATCGTATTTAAATGATGCCCATATCTATTTAGTCGGCCCCCTCACAACAGTTTTTTTTAATATCCTTATTAAGGAGACTCGTCTCCCCTCACAACATTATGAACCACAGGTAATCAGACCGCACACTTTTTAATTTCAACCCTAGAAAACGGTTTAAATCTAAAATATGCGCAAACGTCATTTAGCACATGGGATGCAGTAAAATCGAGAGGTACATTTTGAAATGAAACACAGAATTAAAACAGAACAGTAAATAAGGTTACAAAAACCACACATTTTTACCAGAAGTTCAAATTGAAAGTGAACCCCGTTAACATGAATAAAGTACTGTCCAAATTAACGAAGATCTACTGGATCCACGAATAAAATGTTGTTCTGAAAGCAGTATTGGGTAATTTGTATTACAAATTGCAAAAGATTCTCTCTGTTTTCGATTTCAACTGTTTTTGATTATTATTTGAGACTGAATTCCAAAGAAACCCATACCAAGCTTCTCTCTGTGTTTTGGATTGTCTCCAGAAATGATTGTTATCAACGTTGATGTTCTGGGTATATGTTTTATTAAATACTCTCAAATTAAACGTTGAAAAAATCAAAATACATACATGCATAATAAGCCAAAATCATATTCTCAAATTGAATGCGTCACATTTGAAAATCGTTGGATCATTATACTTTGCAAGAGATGATCTCACAATATACGGAAAGGAGAATAGGGTCACCTTCACCAACAGTAATTAATTCGTCAAGTTGAATGGAGATTTCATTTTTACAGGGTGGAAAATATTATCCGTCTCATTTTCTCAGTGTACAGCTCGTATGTGACAGATGCTAAATTGAGCAAATCTGGGCCAATTTGAACTGTGGTAAACAAACGTGCAAAGTCTAGTTCAAATCCATCCGCATACAATGGAGTAATGCAGTAATAGGGCATTGCAAACAAGAAAATACAGAAGCATCAACATATGTCACTCAAATCCTTGGATCGTTTGACAACCCAAGTTACCAAGGCCTGGGACACACTATACCTACAGATAAACGAACGAGCATCGTTGATCATCCTCCCTAAATGGTCGAAGGAGTGTGTGGCAGCCAAAGGAGGCCATTTAGAGATACAACGTACGTTAGTATACCCACTTTACCCAAATGTAACTCAATATACTAGTTATAAAATCCCTTAATAAAGCTAAATAATAATAATAGTTATAAAATAAATAAAATTATGACTAAAAAATTGAAGGCGGACATATTTTCCTCACCCTGTATGAAAAGACTAATGCAGTCCTCAAACTTGGACGACGATTCACTGTCAAGGCGATTGATTTAAATGTTATTTAAATGAGGTAGCAGCTGATGCCGAAAAGCTACGACGCTCGCGGTGTTTATGAATGGTGTGTATTTGATCGTAACACAGTATAAAGATTGATCGGCATTATATACCTAGGAACTATCCATGAGTATTGGATGAAACTTATTCGAAGAAATCTCTGGGGGAATCAATTAAAACAAAGGAAGGCAAACAACATAGGTTTTATGATATATTCTCACACAAAACGTACATGAGTTAGTTCCTAGTCGAAAAATAGGCTAAAACTACATAATATCAGATACTGATATAAGAGCATTTTAGTATCCCTGAAAACTGAAACTGGCGGTGATGAAGGTAGTGAACACTTGTTCTCGTGGTTTAAGGCGATCTTAATGCTCGCATGGTAACAGCGATGGTAGAGGAGCCAGTGGAAATGGAGATGGTGGTGGTGGTGGCGGTGGAGCATTGTAATAGCCGGAGGAAACTTGGTTGGAATATACCGACGGTTGATGAGCCTGGATGGGTGATAGGTATCCAACGACCTGCAGATTTCCAGTGTATCCGGAAGATACGGGTGGTTGGTATGGAACATCAGCTACCGGGTAAGGAGCAGGGTATGCCACTGGAGCTCGTTCCTGATAGCTAATTGGAGCTGGTGCCTGATAGATAACTGGAGCTGGGGCCTGGTAAGTAACTGGAGCTGGCACCTGATAGGGTATCGGAGCGGGAGCCGAATAACTAATTGGTGCAGGGGCTGAGTAAACGACTGGAGCCGGTGCAGCATAAGCTACTGGTGCTGGTGCTGCAGCATAGCTTGAACCATAACTGTCATGCGCCGGAGCAAAGTTATCCAGCGAGTTACCTCCACCTAATCCACTGAATTTTCCTTCGAATCCTCCGAATCCTCCTTTCTGTGATCCCAATGCCAATCCTCCAAGCCCCAATCCTTTGATAAGTACTATAAGGAAACACGTGTTTTATTTTCATTCAATCTTTCACTAGGATCAAGTGTTCTTACACAGCTTTTTCGCAATGCCAATTGTTTCAGATCCTTCTAGATCATCCTGTAGATCAACGGAGTTTTGAATTCCGCTTTTGATATCTTCACTTAGCACTACTCCAACCGTAACCAGGATGACTAGACAGCTCACTTTAAAGAACGCCATTTTCCGAGCTTTTCTTCACTTCGTTCACCGCGATGGTAATTTATGCACTACGTATCAATGAATGGCCAAATATCCCGTATTTTTAGCTATTTATACGGGTCTGTTCTTGTCGGAAGATTTTCTGTCTCCATCTCGCATACTATCGCCGAGGAAAAGAGCTAACATCTTTTTATTACATGAATTCTAATTGTTTGATCATACACACATCCATACGTAGGGGAATATGAGGTGATGAGAAGTACGGGTAATAAACCACATTTTTGATTGCTTGTTGAAATGATGACGAATACGTTTTTCTTCTTCTAAGTAACACCTTTTTATGCATCTCAAACCTTTTATGGTGTAGTGGTAAGCGTGATTACCTCTCACCCCAGCAGGCCTGGGTTCAATCCCAGTCGGCGCCGTCGGGATGTTCTTGAGGCATAACATCTCTGATCACGCCTTCCTTCGGATGGGAACTAAAGCCGTTGGTCCCCGGTTCTTGAGTTGATGGGTCGATAGGTAGGGTCCAGGTGTGGGAGCTGCCTTCCTGGCACGTCGGTAGCATTGGTGCTCAGCCCGGAAAACAAGATCGATGGAAAAAACATGAGATTAATATTTTTTACTGTTCTATTTTAGATTCTTATAAAAAGAAATGTGAACATTATTTTTATTATTAATTAACTTGAACTTATTTCAATTTTGTACATCATGTGGCTGCACCCGTGCAGTGTATTTTAAGTATAATTTTAGAAATAAAAATGCAAACATACGGGTTATATTTATAAAATTGTGATATTTATGCTAATTGTTTAAACAAGCTTATAAGGGAAATGGATGTAATGTTGGCCTAAATGCCCGTAATTTGGGCCCATACATAAATTCAGCAATCGACTAAGTTTTCAATGGTGACCAAAAATATCCATTAGTACCATCCCAATGACACGTGCATCAAGGTAAAATTGATAAATAGCAGATTTTTAGCGATGGGCCCAACATTAGAGCCATTTCTCCTATTTTGCATAACTGAATTATGATGAACAAACGAATAATAAATGTGATGAATTTCGTTAAGCTATGAAACATGGGTGCACGAGCACTGGATTATAATAATTTTTCCTTAACATTTGATACTTATCGCAGTGACCAGTGCTGTTAATTTTCATATCATTCGATTGAAGATGAACCAATACAACCATTCAATCAATTCTGTGTAAACGAATTCTCACATGACCATAATTTGAACAGCCCCTTTCTCATTCGAAGCTCATTGTCACTGTCAATTAAGTCACTCAGTATCATTTGATATACGACAGTGGAGTGTGGAAGAAATCCAGCAAAATGGTCCCGAACAGACAAGTTGACCCGATGTCAGATCAATGTAAGGCTGATTTAAGGTCGATGTCGACCCAATGTCGTGTTGTTGTCGGGTCAATTTTGAGTTTATGTCGGGTCAATGTTGGGTCAACATCGGGTTGAGGTTTGATAGAAGTCAGGTTGGTGTCGGGTTGGCTTCGCTTTTTCGCCGAAATGTCGACCAGAGCTCCGTTTGTGTGTAGGTTACACTCAATTGAATGATAGGGTAGAGAACTACTTCGGCCTAATCGCCCGTTTTGAGCCTATCGAGCAGAAAACTTCAAATAAATCCATGATTTCAGAGTTAACAAGTCAATTATGCGTTCGGTACGATACTTTAGTTAATAAGCTACCGAACGAAGTCAATGAGAACGCGTGATATGAAGGTTTGCACCCATTACTCCTAAAACAAAAGAAGCGCTCCGACCGAATCAATTTTTATCACCCTCCAATAGGCCGAAGTGAATTCATTGGCGTTTTGATGGCGTTTCAATGCGTTAGGCCGAGTTTGGCGTCAATAAGCAGTGTTAGACTTTTGACAATATCTCAACGATTGGTTTCTCTTTATCAAATCTTACGGTACGTACGGAAAGGTAAATAAATTTGGAAGCCTTCAGTAAGAATAACATTCCGTTTGGTGCTAAACTGCGCTAGATTAAGAAAGATAAAGTGCCGGTTGTGCTTAATAGGCCGGAAATGGGGTAGTTAACCCTATATAGCGTTTCTCAAATGAGAATGATACATGCCTTCGTAAAATGACTAAGCAACTGATATCACCCATTCGGAGGAGGTCCCCTTTGATAGCGAATAGCTACTTTTCTCATTTTCATCAACAAATGTTCAAATGATTTTGAGAATTTGCAGCACCAGTGACCATAGTGAAGACACACGAAAGCAAACTGGCAAGTGGAAGAAATGTCGTTACATTTCAGAACTACATTGGGCCAGCGACAGAACATTTTCACACAAAGAAGCAGATAATGTATGTCATGTAGAATGTTGCTTATTTCATGATAACTACTGCATTTATTTGATGTTCACTGCATGGGATTAAAATATTTGAATGAATACTAATCAAAGCATAGTAATAATAATAAGCATAGATGTTATAATTATGCGTAAATAAGGAAGTTGATAATATACTGTCACTCTAAAATTTAATTATTATAAGCTGTTTGAAAAAGCATGGGCTGTGACATTTTTCCTATTTTCTATCTCCGTCGTTAGCTTGAAATATAAATATACACTGCAGCCCGTGTTATGGTTGTTTTGTTTCGCTCTTCACGATGATTTTGCAAAAAATGTGCATTTGCACCGCTGCTTGGGTATTTCTTATTACCTCATAAACCCATTCTTCCCCTATACGTGTGACCGTCCGGTACGCATGACGATAAGTGCAAATAAGCACCGGTCGCACGGCCTATTGGCACAGGGCTGGTCTAAACTGGTGACCGATGAGCCATCAACGGCTTGACTTGTGCAGCATCCATTGGCACCAGAGAGGGATCATGTCTTGTTGCGGGCTCGAAATCGGTCGTTGACTGTTAGAAGAGATGAGCTTAATTTTCAAGTGTGCAAACAAAATGTAAATTTGCTAAATGTATACCTCACACCTAGAAGATGAGGGTTCAGTTATTTGGTAGCGTCATGGTTTCTTAAGCATTGATTTAGTAACTCTTGGATTTTTAGGACAAGTATTGGTTTAATTTTAATATTATTATTTTATTACTTTTGCTACTGGATGGCAAAATATTCATCATTAATTTATTTTATTTTATTTTATTTTTTGTCAGTCAGTGTAGCCCATTTTAAAATAGTTGCGTTAAGTGCTATTTTTTTTTTAAATTTCGACTTTGTTAAATAAATTATATTGTGTCTTGAAAACAAATAAAAAAAAAACTAGTACTAGCTGACGTTACGCGAGGAACTAAAATTTAATAAATCAATTGGTGTACACAGCAAAAAAATAAAGTTTAATATTACATCCAAGAGGATGCACTTCAATCATGTCGAAAATCTCATGTAATTTTTATGGCCAAACAAATAAACAAATGCAGTAAAAGCAACGTAATGCCAGTTCATACACTGTATTAATGATAATTTTGTCCTTTTTGGCAAGTAATATTACAACATATTTTCGACACGATTGAAGTGCATCCACTTTGATGTGTGTGTGTGTGTGTGTGTGTGTGTGTGTCATCCTCTATCCCTCACCCAGCCGGGGGCGTTGGACAAGTAGAACTGCGAATAATTTGATCAAATCTCATGCTCCGTAATGGTGTCCTTTATGTTGTGAAGACTAGTACTTCAAAAAGGGTAACTTTTGAGGCAAGACAGGGTGTCCTCAACAAGTTAAGGGAACAGGATGCACTAGATGTCCACAACAGGTACAGCAAAACATCACATAGACGCCCTTATTCACACTAACTACTCAGGGGATAGAAGGTCAAGAAGAGCCACCGCCGCCAACTAAAGCTTGAACCGGGTACCTGGGACTCCCACGATATACCCGCGGCAATGGTCAGCAGACGATGCCCTGTGCGTATTTAGTATGTAATATGTTTTATTTGGATACACACAATGTTTGAAGCCATGCGCCATCTATACCATAATTTGCATCACCACAAATACACTTGTCAACAATCTTCAACTGGAACGTACTCACCAAATCACTTTACCCGGGAGCGCATTCCCGATGCTTCCACGCATATTTTTCTCTTCACTCCAACCACACAACAACCAAATATCACTTTTCTTCACTTTTCTTTTTCAAGACACTCCGTGCACAAAAGCGATGCACATCGCAAATCCCTAACAGGTGATCAGCGCCGTGCTCATCACCGCGTAAATAAACAGAAATTAAAATTTTCACTCTCGATGCCACAAATTTTTGGTCCGGGAGAAACAATCAAACCACGCAGCGCCAAATCTTCTGATGCTAGCAATTTTGCAAACATGATGAATCATGTTTTCTTTCTTGATTCTAAAACTTCTCGGAAAGCGAGAAAACCACCATTCACACACGTATAACCGTCCGGGAGACAGAGTGCCAGCGCTAATCCGGCAAATGCAGCCGAAAACTATGAAAGAGAATGCACGCACAAAACAGAGAGCAAATTTAGACACAACCGTATCCAAAGGCGTTCGAAACTCGACTCGTCCAATAGTCTACATTCTATTCCTATTTTTTTGTAATTTAAAGAGTGGTAATGGTACGTCGATTCAGTCAAATAATTTACCGAAGTCAGTACAAAGAGCTGGTTACAATTATCCATTGCGTTAATAATAAGGGTTACAAATTCAAGAAGATTAGATGTAGCTGAACGACCTATAAAAAAAGCCGAGCTGCTTATTTTTAGCGTATTTTTTAACTTGCTGAAATTTTTTGTCGTTCACGATTGATTCTAAAAGTTTTGGGATGCAAAAGATTATGGCAATTCCACGATAATTACGAATCAGACAAGAAGATTGAAAAATAGGCATTTCCACGGCACGATTTCCAAATTTCGGGAAATTTTGCATTTATCAGACATATATTCCAGACATAAAATACTTTCAAAATGGAGGGTCAAAATAACTAAAAGCTTGATTGGTTGTGGAGTAATCTCGTCTTGTCGTGGGTAGATCACCCATGGTACGTTACGGGAAATAAGATCTTTTTTTTTTCCTTTGGTTTGTTTTTTCCGTCGATCTTGTTTTCCGTGCTGAGCACCAATG